TTTTTATTCCAGCAGAGGAGAAAGTCATTATGGTAATTTAAATAACTGATTATTCAGTTATGACTATGGTCAGTAAAATGAAACTGGCTGAGTTCTCATTTGGGGAAAATCCACGTTCAAGCTCACCCTTGTTCTCAGCAGAATCTAGGTCTTTGAGGTTGTAAGAGTGAGGTCCCATTTCCTTGCTGGCTTAGGGTCAACTTAAGGCGATTTCACATAACCTATATGCATGGTGGATACAGTTTGGGAGGCAGGGAATTTGGGGGGTTATTTGAGAATTCTACCCACAACAAGGAGGACTGCTGCTTCTCCCCACTGTACATCTGGGGGCTCCTCAGAGCAATTCTTCCAGCCAGCACACTGGCATTGTCTCCCCCAGCCAACCTCTGTAACTTCAGGTGACCTTGGCAAAGAGAGCTGGATGGGATGTGTGTGACCCCGATGGGGTACCACAGGGCTGTGACTGGGGCTTTCTAATGGGGCTTTGCTGTCCCAGTACTTAGGATGTCACACTAACCAACCCCCACTGTCCGTATTAGAAAGGCAATCCTTGTAGGATTCCTTGGAGGATGTGAGTGCCCTGCCCAACTTGTTGCTCAAGCAAAATCTTGTGACTGCTACAGGGACATTACTACCTGAGCATGACTGTTTAATGTTACCTCAATGACACCAACTCTGTAAGGCTGGGGACTCTCCTGCCCCTCTGCCCTTGCTCTACTCCTTCCCAGACAGGCTGGTGCTGTCTGTGGGGATGGCATTCACTTATTCACTCATTTATGCAAGAAAACATTTATCAAGCACCTATTTTATGTGTCAGTGAATGCATGATCATCTTTCATCTGGATTATTACAGTAGCCTTCTGACGGTCTCCCTGCTTCCACCCTGCCCATCTGCAGTTTATTTTCCACACGGATGCCTGAGGATCTTCTCCTTCTCCTAAAAATAACTTAGATAATGCTACTCCTCTGTTCAAAACCCTCCAGTGGCTTTCCTACTCTACTACAGTAAAAGCCAGAGTCCTCACCACGGCCTAAAAAGCCTGCAGGATCTGGGCCCCTGCTGCCTCTTTGACCTCATCTCTCTCTCCTAGTCTTCTCCAGCCACTCTGGCTTGCTGCTGTTCCTCCTTCAGCCAAGCACTCCTGCCTCAGGACCTCTCTGCACACACTGATCTGGCTTTCTAAACTGCCATCCCCCAGACTTCTTCTACAAGGCTTGCTTCTTCCAGAGCTCTGCTCAGGCAGTATCTTCTCAGGGATATCTTCCTCCATCACCCTCTGTAAAAGGCACACACACCCTTTGCATTCCCCATCCTTTTGATTTTTTTCCCATGGCCTCACCACGATGTGGCATTCTATCTCTATATTTCCTTGTCTATTTGCTCGTCTCTCCACACTAGAATATGACCTATACAGGGCAGGCTCTGTTTTCTTTACTGCTGTCCCCCCGCCCCGCCCTGCACCTAGAACAGTTCCTGGCACACAGTGGGTGGATGAATGTGCTGGAAGTACTACGCGGCATGCTACATATAAAGAGATGGATAAGAAAAGATTCCTTAGGGTCTTGCCTTTTGGGTGGCAGAAGAGGCGTATATACACAGATCCTTGTAGTGTCACGACGTAGGGTGCTGAGAGAGCACTGCTGAGGGGCCAGGAGAATCAGAAAAGCCTTCCCAGAGCACGGACATTTGACCCTGTCTTGCAGGATAAAAGGTGACTGGGGAGAAAGGGAGGGGTCCCCACCCTTCCCCTTGTCCTTCTGCTTCAGTCACACTGGCTCGTGACTATCTTCAATCCCGAGGTGCAGGGAATGACACGGTTAAAAGGGAGAGGAACATGTCAGATAAAAGATTTGGGTTTATGTGCCTCTGATTTAGCTTGGATCATGTGCTTCCTGGAACCAATCACTGAGCCAGTAAGATGGAATGCTCTCATTGGCCAGGCCCGAGTCACGAGTCCCTACCCCGCCCTCCCGCTCCATGAGAAAGGGTGGGGAAGGAAATTCACTCGTTAATCACAGGGACTGGGCCTGGGGAAGGGATGGTCCTAAAAGGATAAATCAGGTGCTATTTCCACGTAGGGAAATAAATGCTGGGGGCAAAACACGGTTACCACTTTTGATTTTTCCCACTTTCCTCTTTTCATATCCCTGGTAGCCATAATCTTTGTTCCGGTCTCAGTTTTCTTGTACTCAGGACCTATCACAAACTACATGCCAGAATCTTTGTTCTGTATCCAGGCGAGGGAGATGCCACTGGACACCAGTGTGAGGGTGTGTGTGTGATGGGGGGAAGCATCCAGGCATGCTGGGCAGGAAGAGCAGGCCTTGGGGGTGTAAAGCCATCCCTGGTCTCCTATAGTGAGGAGGCCTGGAGTACCAACAGACCAGGCTTCACATACAGACTATTAAATAGTCTTTCTAGGTATTTACTGACAAGACAAGTTCTTCAGATATAAGATCCCATATTCACAACAAATGAACTATTAAAGAAGAAAACAGCTTGCATAGTGCCTTAGTCTGTTCCGTTGCTATAACAAAACACAGACTGGATGACTTATAAATAACAGATATTTCTCACAGTTCTGGAGGCTGAAAGTCGGAGATTAGAGTGCCAAGATTGGGTGGGGGCCCTCTTCTGGGTGGTAGACTTCTCTCGTGTCCTCACATGGTGGAAGGGATTAAGGATCTTACTGGGGCCTCTTATAAGGGCACTAATCCCATTCATGAGGCTTCCACTTTCAGGACCTAATCACTTCCCAAAGGTCCCACCTCCTAATACCATCACTTTGGGCCTTAGTTTTCAACATACAGATTTTGGGAGGACACAAACATTCCACCTGTAGCATTTACTCTTATAAAGCCCTTTCTTTTGCTGCTTAAATGCTCCTCTGTCCTTTAACTGTAGAATGACCAGCCATCCTGGTTTGCTCAGGACAGAAGGGGTTCCAAAGGCAGCTTTAAAATTAAGACAGTCCTGGCAAAGCAGAGATATGAAAACAAACAAAAAAACTGTGTTTTTTAGGACTTTTAGGATTCTGAAATCATGGAAAATTTAAACATGTACTTAACAAACTGCATCTTACCAAAAGGGAGACTGCACCTAGGTGCTGCAGGAAGAAAGAATTGAAATCACCTGTTCCTTAAGTAATTACATCCTGGTTCAATTGTAAGCAAAAGTTAGACTCAGCACATATTTTAATAACCTATTTATTCTAAAATATGTTCCTAATTATTCTCTAAGTATTTCATCTGTTATTGATGTATAACACATAGAGGAAACTGTACAATTCAAAAGACTCAGATCAATGAATTATCATGAAGTTAAGACACCATGTAATCACCACCCAAATAAATCATTTTTAATGGGGAAAAAAACCCCACATCCAATTACGGAAGAATATTCTTTTGGTTCTCTAAGACATCAGTACTCTGGAAACTGTATGTTCCTTGAGCTAGCTAAACTGATGCCCATTAGTAGCTACCAGAATGCCAGGTATAACATCAAAAGATAGTCCAGGGGTGCCTGGGTGGCTCAGTCGTTAAGCATCTGCCTTCGGCTCAGGTCATGATCCCAGGGTCCTGGGATCGAGCCCCACATCGGGCTCCCTGCTCGTGGGAAGCCTGCTTCTCCCTCTCCCACTCCCCGGTTGCGTCCCCTCTCTCGTTGTCTCTGTCAAATAAGTAAAATCTTTAAAAAAAAAAAAAATAGTCCAAGCTCCTAGTGATCCTTATAAATTATAAACGGTTTTTCAGTGATGGAAATTTTTACATAATTAGCATTGAATGTTTAAGTGTTTTCGATTAAATGTTTTTGATAAAAAGAAGAGTGTATTTATGACTGTGTAGTTTCCTTTCTTTTGGAAACTGCTACTATGGGTTTACTTGGCTACATCAGCTGTTCTTGATTCCAATTTGCATGAGGTTACAGATAAAATGTAGGTGGGAGGCCCTACGTTAGGAGTGATGCAGCTTGATAAATGTTGCCAAAATGATGGTAATGGCTACACACGGTACAAATCTTATTTTTTAGGTGATTACTTTTTAAATAGCTAAAAGCACTGAGGCCATCTGACTGATGTATATAGCAGACTAAGGGGGGCCCTGGAGGTCCTGTGTGGGCACAAACCAATTAAGTTGAGCACTCAGTGAAATTGCTTTCTCAGCCAGGATGGAGAATGATTGATCACAAGTCAAACCGTACACATGTCAGACTGAAAGAGTTTACAGGTAAATTTGGCCCAAGGCCATTGCCACTTCATTTCTCTGGCTGAAACACTTCAAGTGGTTAAGTGAGTGGGGGAAAGCCACTTAATTCTTTGTACCATGAGATCCTCCAGCTGGGTCTTGCGTTGGTTTCCACTACCGTATGGAGGTAAAAAGGCCCAATTTCTGGTCTTCATATGCACGACTGAGGTTGGGAAGTCTGCCTGAACAAGTGGTTCTCAACCCCAGTGGATTTGAGAAATTGCTGGGGAGTTCAAAACAACAAAAAACATCCAGATACTCAGGACACACTCAAGACCAAACACTCCGAAATTTAGGGACGTGGAGCCCAGGCATCAAGCACGTTTAATCAGGTAATTCTACTGGCAGCTGTGGTTGACAGCGCTGAGCAGAGTTCGAATCGGTAAAAGCCTCTTCCCTTTGAAGGAAGGGTCCCAAGACCAAACTTGCAGAAGGGCTGTTCCCTCAGCCTGGGGGAATTTCAGCTCGCAGGTCCGGATGTCGGTGGCAGGACTCGGGGGACCGCGAGTACCGTAGCACCGGCTTAGTAAGAGACATTCTCGCGCACCTCTCCCTGGAGACACCCCGCGTGAGCCCGACATCGAGGGTCAAACATGTAGCACGTGGACCCAGAGAAGGCCTGACCACCACCCTCCCGACCCTTCTAAGGGAGGGCGTCCGCCCTCGCCGAGACCAAGAGCCGAAAGCGCATGCGCGAGCCATGTGAACGGCGGAGGGACGGGCGCGGACCTGAGGCGCATGCGCGGACGCAAAGGCGGTGCTTCCGGCCGACGGAGGCGGGGCCTGGGGCACGGTCAGGGGCTGAACCCACGCCGCGACCCCCGACCCGGGCTCACCGGAATGGCCAGGCACGTGTTCCTGACTGGGCCCCCAGGTAACCCCGCCCAGGTCTCCGCTCCCGGGGGGCTGCCGGAGTAGGCAAGGGGGCGCGCGGGGTGGCGGCGGCCGGGTGCTCTTGGGGAGGGGCGGCTTTATAAAGCTCCAGGGCTCTTGCTGCTGGCCCCTGAGGTTCCCAACTTAAATTACAGGCTTTGTGATCTGAAGCTTACGTGTCCCTTCTCAGCGCGATTTTAAGTACGAAAGATAGGATTAGAAATGAGGCCGACGCTAGTAAGAAAAAGAACATTGTGGTTGGGCAGTGTGCAGGCTTCTTTGTGAAGGTATTAAAGAGCGGGGTCCAGGCGGCTGCGGTGTAACTACGTAGTTTTGAACTTGTGATGGGCACGAACGATGCTTCAGGATGTCTGCCACAACCGTGATTGACATGGAGGCGTCTGGTTTCTGTTGATAGTGACACGTGCTGCCGGTAGTGTGGCTCTGGCCGACATGCATAATGGAAGGAAGCACGGATTTTCGCTTGAAGGATAATGAAACTAAAGATGAAACCTCCCCGCCCCCGCCTCAGGTTCCTGCAAGGATGAGGCTGCAGGATGAGAAGCCCCTCTCAGATCTTGTGTCTGTGCCTGGCCCCTCTAATGCCAGTCACTGGGCAAAGCCTTCAGCCAACCCCGTGGGGCTGTGAACGGATGGGATAGTATTCATTCAAATGAGAGACTGGAGGAGGAGATGCTCTTTAAACAATGGCCCTACACATGTACCAGGTGTGACTCAGGAAGGTGGTGGCAGCATCAGATGGGCTAAGGCAGAAAGGTGGGCTTGGAGTGGAGAAAGTGATTTATTTCTTCAGCTCCTTTGTAAGGTGGATGGATCTAATGTTTAAGTTCGCGGAGCGTTCAGGTATCAAAGATTGTCATTCAGGGCCTAGAGTTGTCTTCCACTTTAATGGTTACGTTTTGCCTTAGGTAGCAAAGGCGACACTTAATATTGTAGACTTTGGAATTTTATTTTTACTAGGCAATGGGGAAGCTGTGAAGAGAGTGGTTTGCGGAATTTCTAACATCCAACGTACTCCCTAATCTTGCAAAAGACTGTCTTCTGAAAGTTGATTTGTCAGTCCTTTATTTGAAACTGGGAATGCCATTTGCTCAGCAGGCTGGCCCCAAAACATTTACGTGTTTCATAACAGAAGTGATCTGTTACTATGTTAGTACCTGCCTGGGTCTTGGAAGTGGCTGGGGACAGAGGTTGGCCAGGTCAACACTTGTTCTTATTCCTGTTTCCTTTTATGTACACACAGTTGAAAGATTCAAATAATTCTACAATATAGCTCTTCTAAGCCTAAAAACCTAGGCACCCTCTCTTTCTCTTCATCTTCCTAGTGCAGTTAGAGTATAAATTTGATTAGCTCAATACATGGGAGAGCTAATCACAGAAAAGCCATGTAATCAGTAATCTATAGTTTTCCTTTTATGTATAACTTTTTTCCCCTTTGGAGTTACCGTCAGGTTTTTTTAATAGTTTCTTTCTTTCACTAACTCCGTCTCAAATTCTGCCTGCTGTCTAAATCTAATCGACATATTCAGATCGTCAGGTAATATATCTTCTCAAAGAGGTCGCTTTTTGTTCTATATGTTGTCAGTGCCCCACCAGTGTGTCCTTAGCACTTAGCATTTTCCCCAACTTCTAACTGTCCAACTTGTGACTGATCTTGGAGGGCTTTCTCTGGTCACTGAATTCTACTCTGCCTGTTCACAGGGTTAGGCCTGAAGGGCCAGGGGATTCCTGTCCCCCAGGAATGTCCGAACCCATGATCGATGGAAGCTGGTGGATAAACTCCCTACTTCCTCACCCCTCAGACAGGAGAATTGAGTCCTGTGTCTAAAACTGTCCTCTAGGGATTCCCCAGTGGGCTTAGCTACCCACACAGGTAACTTGCTTGATAATGCAGTACTTCCCTTGGGGTCTTTGGGTCACTTTCCAAATTAAACTACCTGCCCTTGAATCTTTATCTCAGGTCAGCCTTATGAGAGAACTAGAACCCAAAGGATTCTGGAGCTCTCTCTGACCTGCTTGTTTGGCCTCTGTGTGGTATGGAGCTGTCATTTTGGCGTCGCCTTCAGCATAGGTTACCTCTTAGTGTAGACAGCGCGAGGGTAGCAGCTGAATTGATGGAGGTGAAAAATTAACTGAAAGATTTCTAGAGCTGATGAGGAAGGGGCTTGAGCCAGTGCCTCCTCTCGCTTTCCCGTGTCCTATCCAACATGCAGGACGCGCAGCGCCCCCTTTTATTATAGCTGCTCTGTGTTACCTCCTTCAAAATGGAGTACCCCCCCTTTTTTTTTACATTTAGGGTAATACCCACTTACCATAAGACCAAAAAAAAAAAAATCACAAGTTTTAAAGAAGAAAGTGACAATCACATGGAATTGCTATATACAGAAATAAGTGCTGTGAACCTTCCCCGTTCCTTCTCCACATTTCCTTCTGTAGATACATATACTTCACTTTTTTTTTAAGCTTAATGGAAAAATACTGTATATACCTGCTATGTCTTAACCTGCTTTTTCTCCATCTATCCATATATTGTCTGTTTTCTGTGCTAATAAATCTAGGTAAACCGTATTCTCTTTAATGGCTGCATGGCATTCCTGCATGTTTATATGCCATTATATACATGGCACCATAATTGAACACTCCCTTACTGATCAACATATAGATTGCTTTACATATCTTGCTGTTACAATGAATACTGACGTGAGTACCCTGTTTCATATATCTTTGTGCTGTGGTCAGATTTTTGCTGAAGGTGAATTCGTAGCGATAGAATTGCTGTGTGCTGTGGAAGGCACATTGAAGTTGCCCTTCAGAAAAGTACCAACTTACGTACCCGCCAGGGCTACTGGCCTGCATTAACCAGGTTCTTCAATGACTTTCTTAAAGCAGCAGTTACTGGGGGACGGACCTGGGATGAAAAGCCTACCCGGTTCTCTTCCAGCCACAGGGAGTGTGTGTCTGGGTTGCTGTTCATGTTCCAAAAGGCCATTGTCTGCTGGTGTGAAGTTGGGAGGAGAGGTTTATTAAAGAACAGATCATAGTTGATCTCAAGGAAGCTTAAAAGGGTTCTTCGGGAACCCTGATGACTCTGGGTCAGCAGCCGTAGAAATAATATGACTTACAACCTTGTGGTATCTTGAAATAGTCTCTTGCAGACTTGTCAGAGGCTTCCCGTTTTTCCATTTTTGGGTCATCATGACGCCATTGCCTTCAATGTGTATGGAACAGAGCTCATAGAAACGAAGCCATGGTGACACACAAAGGCCCCTGTTAACATGTATGGGCCTTACTAGTAGTGTAAGCCTGGATAAGTTACCTAACCTCTCTGTACCTCATCTGTAAAACTGGAACAAGAATGGTAAGTGCCCCAGAGGGGGCGTTGGGAGGATTTAACCAAGGAAATGCTTGTGGAGCTTGCTAGAACAGTGCCCGGCTCCACAAGGCTGGTGATGAGTTTTATTTTATTAGCTCGTACCTGTTGGTGCTTGCAAACACAGAAGAGTCCATCAGAGTAGTTAATAGGCCAGGTGGATGAGGGGGTGGAGGTGCAGAAGTTGTAATTTGGGAAAGGGTTGGGGGCAAGCCAGAGAAATGCTTAGGGACACTGGAGGAGGTCATAGAAGGGGTTACCAACCTGGTAGGATTGCTCTTGTGAGAAAGTTTAAAAACTGCTATTTCTAGTGGTGTTAGTGGCATTGAAGAGAGACTCTTTTGGGAGACATAGCAGTGTAAGTCTATGGAGGAGTAAAAGGATTTTCCCACAGTTGAGTATAGGTCCAGAGTGTTCAGAAGGTTGAAGTCCCAGTTTAAGGTGCCCAGCCTTTGACCCAAGCATGACCAGTTTTACTTCCTGGTGTAAGAGTGTGGCCACCCAAGGAGGAGAGTAAACCTAGTTCTAGAAGCTTGTCTCAGAGGATGCAAATTGCACCTGCTGTCACCACAAAGCCACTCATTTGGTCCTGTGATTGTGTATGTGACAAAATTAATGGTGTTTTGGAATTTCAAAATAAAACTTTTAAGATCCAATCCGTATTTTTATTATGCTTGAAATTAAAAAGTTTTAATACCTGGAGCAATCAAAATTGAAGTGAAATTAATATTCATAAAATTCGTGTGCAGCCCATTTCTCTCCCCACGGTGATTGCTCTCAGTGAGTCATTGAGTGCTGTGCATCCTCTAGCAAGGGAGTGGTTTCTAACGGGCTTTTGTTTTGTTTTGTTTTGTTTTGTTTTTTTTAGGAGTTGGAAAAACAACACTGATCCAGAAAGCCAGTGAGGTTTTAAAATCCTCTGGTGTGCCTGTCGACGGATTTTACACAGAAGAAGTCAGACAGGGAGGGAGAAGAATAGGGTTTGATGTTGTCACATTATCCGGCATGCGGGGAGTTTTGTCTAGAATTGGGTACTGGTATTTCATTTCTCTGGTGTTTTATTCTCCCTGGGCACAGGATTGAGCCAAATGATCCCTTCTATCTTGAAGAATCTTCGGCCTTTATGGATTTCTCAAAGAAAACAGAGATTGAAACCATCATATGAAAAAGTATAAAAATATCATATTTCACTTAAAACTTATTCCACCAAGTAATAAATTTTTAGCATTTTGTAACTCATAGTCCTGTTTCCTGTGCCACTTTTCTGTTGTGCTGCCTCCCTGCAGCCTCAGGATTAGCCCCCCAAGGTACCTGCCTGGTGGTGGTGGTGGTGGTGGTGGTGGTATGCACTCTTGTTGGTAGCCCTGTTGTCAGGAGAGGACGTGGGATCAGGTTAGCTTTGTGTACCACCCCTTCTTTGGGTAGGTGATTTTTAAGGGTGACTTAGCATATGTGGGAGGCCACAGGCTCGCTGGAGTCGCTACAAACTAGAAATCAGTACAGGGGTCTTTCAACAGAGACTGCCCTGTCTTTTCATTCAGGTCAGAGCCTCCGCCCGGAAAACGTGAATACCGGGTTGGCCAGTATGTGGTGGATCTGACTTCCTTCGAGCACTTGGCACTTCCGGTCCTGAGGAATGTAAGTATGTGATTTCTGCCTCTTGAGCCCATCTCTTCTTAGTGCCCTATAGGAATTGCTGTCCTGGGAGCAGGATGGTTTTGATCCAAAGGAGTGGCCAGTTTTGCATTTTACGATTGAAAAGTTTTCCAGTGATTGAACCTTATAAAAGATATATGCACCATAATTTGATGTCACTCTGAACTACATATAAATTCCTTGTTATACATATTTGGCACATGGAAATATTTTATACTGGGAGGGCTCTGACGCTCAGCTACCATGACTCCCAAAGTTAAGTCTTTACTCTGCCTTCTTCTTATTTATAACTTAACCCTGTTTTCACAGCACAACAAATAAACATTTAGGAAGGGAAAATATCATTATATAAATATAATGGTAAGCACCTAACACATTACAGATATTCCTCAACTTTCTTTGGGGTTACCTCCTGATAAACCCATCATAAGTTGAAAGTATGGTAAGTGGAAAACACACGTAATACACCTAACCTACAAACCATCATTGATCAGCCCAGCCGACCTTCAGCATGCTCAGAACACTGAAGGTTAGCCTATGGTTGGGCAAGGTCATCTGACACAAAGCCTATTTTATAATAAAGTGTTGAAGATCTCGTGCAATATATTGAATACTGTACTGAAAGGGAAATACATAATGGCTTTGTGGGTACAGAATGGTTGTTAGTGTATTGGTTGTTTGCCGTCATGATCTCGTGGTTTCCTGGTATCTGGGACTCCAGCTCGTGCCCAGCATCATGAGAGATCTTACTGCATGCTGCCTCTAGCCCTGGAAAAGGGTCAAAATTAAAAATCTGACCTACGGCCTCTACAGAACCTATATTGCTTTTGTGCCACCATAAAGTTGAAAAATCATAAGTTGAACCATTCTAAGTCACAGACCATCTATGATATACCATATATCACTGTATTATATTGAGATATTCACATACCATACACTTCACCCATTTAAAATACACAATTCAACTTTTTCTGGTATAGTCACAGGATTGTGCAACCAGTCGTCACAATCTAATTTTAGAACCTCTCCATCCTTTCAGAAGGAAACCCCACACCCATTGAGCAGTCACTCTTCATTCCCCTGTCCCTCCCAGCCCCTGGCAACCACTACCCTACCTTCTTTGCCTATTAATTTGCCCATTCTGGGCATTTCCTCAAAAGGGAATCACATAATACGGGGTCTTTTGTAACTAGCATATTGCACTTAGCATAATGTTTTCAAGGTTTGTCTACACTTCAGCGCGTATCATTCTTTTTCATGGTTGAATAATATGCCATTGGATGGATATACCACATTTTGTTGGTCTACTCATCAATTAATGGACATTTGGATTGTTTCTGCTTTTTGGTTATTGTGAATAATGCTGCTCTGAACATTTGGGTGCAAGTTTTTGGGTAGACATCTGTTTTCAGTTCTCTTGGCTTACACCTAGGCGTAGAGATGCTAGGTCATATGGTAATTCTATATAAATCTTTTTGAGGAATTAACAGACTGTTTTCCAGACCCAGCTGCACATCTCCACCAGGAGTGGATGAGGATTCCAGTTTCTTCACATCTTTGCCAATTATGGTCTTTTTAATTTCATCCATTCTAGGAGGTGTGAAGCATTATATGATTTTGATTTGCATTTCCCTGATGACTGGTGATATCGAGCATCTTTTCATGTCCTTACTGGCCATCAGTATATCTTCTTTTGAGAAATGTGTATTCATCTGCTTTGCCCATTTTTAAACTGGCTTCATTGTGTTTTTATTACTGGGTTGTGAGATGTCTTCATAAGACCTGCATACCAGCCTGTTATCAGATATGATGATTTGCCAGTATATTCTTCCATTCTGTAGATGCCGTCACTTTCTTCATGGTGTCCTCTGAAGTGTGAATGTTTTTGAGAAGTCCAGCTTACCTGTTTTTCTTATGTTGTTTGTGCTTTTTGGTGTTGTATCGAAGAAGACTTTGCCTGACCTAATTTCATAAAGATCGACTCCTGTGTGTTCTTCTGGGAGTTTTATAGTTTTACTGTTACATATAGGCCTATAGTCTAAAGTAATTTTTGTATATGATGTTAGGTACGAATCCAGATTCCTTCTTTTGTAGATAAATACCCAGTTGTTTTCAGAACCATTTGTCGAAGACTCTTCTCTTTCCATGTAATTTTCTTGGGGCTCTTGTTGAAGTCAGTTGACCATAAATACAAGGATTAATTTGGACTCTGAATTCTGTTCCATTTTTCCTTATGTCAGTTCCATCTGTTCTTAGGTCAGTGCCACACTGTCTTTATTAGTGGAATTGGGATTTTAATAGGGATTGTATTGAATCTGTAGATGAATTTGGGGAGTATTGCCATCTTAGCAATATTAAGTCTTTTGATATGTGAATATGAGATCTCCATTTACCTAGATCTTCTTCTTCTTCTTCCTTTTTTTAAGATTTTTTTTTTTAAGATTTATTTATTTAAGAAAGAGAACATCCCAAGCAGACTCCCTGCTGAGTGCAGAGCACGACGCGGGGCTCAATCTCAGGACCCGGAGATCATGACCTAAGCCGAAATCAAGAGTCGGACACTTAACTGCCTAAGCCACCCCTACCTAGATCTTCTTTATTTTTTTTTTTTAAGATTTATTTATTTTAGAGAGAGAGAGCACAAGTGGGAGGGGCAAAGGGAGAGGGAGAGAAACTAAGAGTTGAAGGCTTAACCCACTGCTCCACCCAGGTGCCCCTTCTTTAATTTTTTTTTTTTTAAGATTTTATTTATTTATTTGACAGAGAGAGAGAGAGACAGCAAGAGAGGGAACACAAGCAGGGGGAGTGGGAGAGGGAGAAGCAGGCTTCCCGCGGAGCAGGGAGCCCGATATGGGGCTCCATCCCAGGATCTGGATAATGACCTGAGTCGAAGGCAGACGCTTAATGACTGAACCACCCAGGCGCCCCTTTAATTTTTTTTTTAACACTATTGTTTTGTAGTTTAGCCTATACTTCTTTTTAAAAAATTTATACCTTAGCATTTTATACTTGTTGATGCTATTGTAAATGGAATTGTTTCCTTAATTTCACTTTTGGAATTATCATTACTAATGCATAGAAGTACAAGTGATTTTTGTCCGTTGATCTTGTATCCTGTAACCTTGCTAAATTTGTTTATTAGTTCTAAGAGTTTTTCAGTGAATTCTTTAGGGTTTTCTATGTATGAAATTGTATCATTTACAAATGGATATAATTTTACTTTCTTCCTTTCCACTTTGGATGCCTTTTATTTCATTTTCTTGCCTAATTGCCCTTGTTAGAACTTTTAGTTCAGTGTTGAGTAGGAGTGGTGAGAATGGACATCCTTATCTTGTTCCTCATTGTAGGGAGAAAGCATTCGATCTTTTACCATAAATATGTTTTACCATAAAGTATGATGTTAGCTGTGAGTTTGCAGATAACCATTACCAGGTTGAGGAAGTTCCTTTTATTCCTAGTTTGTTGAGTGTTTTACCATGAAGAAGTGTTGGATTTCGTGAAATCCTTTTTCTGCATCTATAGAGGTGATTGTGTCATTTTTATCTTTCATCATAATAATGTAGTATGTTATGTTAATTGATTTTTGGATGTTAAACCAACCTTGGTTCTTGGACTAAATCCCTCTTGGTCATGGTGTATGATTATTTTTTTTTAATTTATTTATTCATGAGAGAGAGAGAGAGAGAGAGGCAGAGGGAGAAGCAGGCTCCCAAGGAGCAGGGAGCCCAGTGTGGGACTCGATCCCAGGACCCTGGGATCATGACCTGAGCCGAAGGCAGACGCTTAACCATCTGAGCCACCCAGGTGCCCGTGCTGTATGATTATTTTTATATGTTGATGGATTCAAAAGGATTATATGCAAATCCTTTTATATATTGTTGGGTTTTTATATGTTTGCAAGTATTTTGTTGAAGATTTCCACATCTGTACTCCTAAGGGATATGGCCTGTAGCTTTCTTGCGATATCTTTGTCTGATTTTGGTGTCAGGGTAATATTGGTGTCAGAATAAGTTGGGAAGTGTCCCTTCCTCTTCTGATTTTTGGAAGAGTTTGTGACATATTGGTATTTATTTTTTCTTTGAATGTTTGATTTACCGGTGAAGGCCTGTGGCCTGGGCTTTTCTTCACGAGAAGCTTTTTAATTACGAACTCAATTTCTTTACTTACATAGGTCTGCTGATTTTTTATTTCTGATTGAGTCAGTTGTAGTAATCTCTCTTTTAGTAATTTGTCAGTTTCATTTATCTCATCTGCTGGCACAAATTGTTCATATATTCCCCGATAATCCTTTTATTATGTAAGGTCAGTGGTGTTTTCCCTTCTTTCATGTCTTATTTTAGTTAATTAAGTTCTTTCTCCCCCCGCTCCTTTTTTTTTTTTTTTTGGCCAGGAGAAGGAAAAGGGAAATAGGAAAAGGTTTGTCAATTTAGTCGATCTTTTCAAAGAACCAACTTTTGCCTTTGGATTATATATTATTTGTTTTCTGCATTAATTCATCAAATACTTATCAAATCCTGGATATGTAGTCGTGAACAAAACAGACATGTTTTCTCCTGTCTCCAGACCCTCAGGCGAAGGGGAAATGTAGACCGTAAACAAGTAGGTGTATGTCATTAGCACTGTGAAGGGGACCAGTGGGGTGCTGTGAGAAGTAGGAAGAGCTGACTTGAGATCGGGTGGCCAGGACGGAGCTCTGAGGAGGTGACGTGTAGCTGAAATGGGAAGACGGGAAGGCGCCGTCACTTCAGAGAGAATACTGGGTGTGTGTGGGGGGGTGGGGGGCGGTTCTTTGGACAACATTATAGATGAGGGGAACGGATAAACTGCAGCCCCACGGTCCTGGGGCAGGAGCAGGTAAGGAAGAAGGTGTGGCTGGTAAAGTGGGTGGGGCCACGTGATCAGGGCCTCGGGGCCTGTATTAAGTACTGTGGGTTGCGTTTAATCGGTGATAGACTTACTACTTGGATTAATTTTTGTGGAAT